GGTAAGACAAAGATAAAAGCTTAGATAAAAGCACTACGTATCAGGTTCTACAGCACACAGCTAAAGCAGTTTAAAAATTCACACCCAAACCAGATTCATGTAAGTAAAACAGAGACAGAAAATTAATACCCCCTGCAAAAGAGTCAGAGAGAAAAATAAATGATAAAAGAAAATCGGAGAGCAATAAAGATAAAAGCAGAAATAAGATAGAATGCTTAAGTTTGACTTTTATCATCAAATTAAATGAACACAATTATGAAAATTTAACAGGGTATAAAGTTTCCTATAACTAGGGTGTCACTGGTGACATGGGCACTTTCAGTTTATACTCTTTTTTTTTTTTTTGATTATTTCAAAAAATGCCAGTTTGGTGATGTCTTAGTTAGAATTTTCATTGTTGTGATAAGACAGCATAACCAAAAGCAACTTGAGAAGGAAAAGGTTTGTTTTCATGCCTTCTACCTTATTTCTGCTTTTACCTGTATTTTTATCTGTATTCTGATTTTCTTTATCATTTATTTTCCTCAATGGCTCTTTTTCCCTGGGGGTTTTACTTAGCTGTCTCTATTTTACTTATAAGAATCTGGTTTGGCTTACATGCCCTGGATCAGTCTACTAAAGAAAGTCAAGGCAGGAACCTGGACGCAGAAACGGAAGTAAAAGCCATGGAAGACTGCTGTTTACTGGCTTGCTCCTCATAGCTTGCTTAGCGTGCTTTCTTATATAACTCCACACTGCCCCCTGTGGGCTAATGCACAAAGACTTGCCTGCAGGCCAATCTATGCATACTTTTCTCAACTGAAGTTCATTTCCCACATAATTCTAGCTTGCATCACGTTGACAAAAACTAACAAACAAATGAAGTAAGTCAGCCAGGACAGGGCAATATTATTTACAACCACTCATGAATAATCTTCAAAAATAAGGAATATGTGAAAAAAATCCAAAGTATAAAATCCCAGAATTACAGATTTAAATAGCATGTATTATTATTTCTCTTCTATATAATACATAATTATCCTTATCCTAGATCTTACATTATAAGAAACATACACAAATACTTCCATGCTTCTTACACTGTAACATCTGTCTCTATAAGAAACCCAATCTACACTTATTGCCTTGTTTTTGAGACAGGCTAGCCTGAAACTCAAGATCCTCCTGTTTCTGTCTCTTGATTGCTGGGATCACAGCTATGGGTGACCAAAGTAATGATTTTTGTTGTTGTTGCTTTTTCTCTTTTTATTTCTGAGATGTTTCTGTACAGATCCCTGGATGTCCTGGGACTCACTATGTAGACCAAGCTGAACACACTATGTATACCAGGCTGGCTTTGAATTCACTGAGCTCTACTTTCTTCTGCCTCCCTAGTGCTGGGATTACAGGAAAGTACCACCATGTCCAGCTGAATAATGACTTTTTTAAAAAAGTTGAATCTACATTTAAACATTAATTGTAACTGATAAAGATGTAAACAGTATTAAGACTATCGCAGGACCATGCTGAACATGGAAACACAATCTTCATTGGAAGAAAAACAAGTGAATATGGATATAGTCTATAAAACCTAAGAAATATTGGAATTTTCACAAACAGATATTAAACAGACTCAAACTTAGCTGCAGCAACCAAAAAGGATCCTTCACTAAATTTACACCAAGACCACCAAATATATAGCTCTTTGATTAGCCCCAAGATTGAGAAATATTGCAAAGAAACCATCATGGGGCTGGAAATATAGCTTTGTGGCAGGATAAATGCTTGCCTAGCATGTACAAGGCCTGGGGATTGCATCCAAACAAACTGCAAACAAACAAATGAAGGTAGCTCCGAAACATTTTCCTGCCATTTCCTAAGTATGGATTTCTTTAATGTGCGCTGCATAAGACATCCCCAACCTTTGTTCCTGCAGCAACAATTGAAGACAACAAGCAGGTCTTTGCAAAGCGAAAGTATCCTAAAAGCATCGTGCTATTTGGCTAGTTTAAGATCATTCTAGCAGTGTGTTGAGATTCTAAACTAGAATTTGAAATTAACCACACATTTCCACCACTCCTCTCTGGCAATGCACTAACTGAAAATCTGACTTTTTCCAGTGGCGGTTTTATACTGTGCTTCTCAGAAAAAGTGAGAAGTAATTTGACTCCTCAGCTAAAAAGATACATCACTCTTTAACCAGGAATTAGACAGGAAACCAAGTAAGAGTTAACACTGGCTGCAGGCGTGTCTGCAACCTTCCTCAACTATGTTCCCGTAGCGGAGCTGCAAGGGACTTTGCTGGGGAAAGAAAATGCCCTGATGCTCCCCTCCCCTCCTCCAGCTTCCAGGCAGAAAAGGCGTGTAGCTTACACACAGAGCAACCATCCAATGGACCCATTCTTGTGACTATCCATGCATATTTCCATCTAAAGCAACAACAGAAAGTTGAGAGTTATGGAACAATACTGAGAACACAGTATTGCCACAAAAGCATTGTGCAGCATATAGAAGATGAACTCAGGCTAGGCTTTAATCTGCAGCTGGGAGATTAACAGTCAGTGACGTGAAACATCTGCAATAAGCTAGATGCCTTTTTAAATGTCTGCCACAGCCTCAAAACATCACCTGTCCATGTCATAAATAGGAACTCTGGTGATACATGGGTGAATTAAAACATGTGATTATTAATTCTCCATTAGCCTGAGGGTCTCACATGGGGATAGATGACACTACCATAAACGAAACATAAAACCGGAGGGAGGCAGGGCAGGGCAACAAGTAAAGTGATGACAGATGCATGTAATGTCACATCCACAGGACTCTAAACATCTAAAACTGATGCCAAACCATAGTCTTCCCATGATAACACAAAGAGAACTAGGTCTGGTTTGGAGTTTCAAATACTTACATACTTATAATAAATTTCATGAAGCTCTCTATACTTCTTCCCCTAAGCTTTCCAGGACCAAATGTTAAACCTACCAGTTCTCATGGTACAAAGGACACTTGACCTGGCTAAAACTCTTAAGGTATTTATTTATTAAAAGACAATCGACTAAGTTTTTGGCTCCAAAATCCTACAAAACTCAATCCATCTGCCCTTCCCCTTCCTTGAAAAGAGGAGCTGACAGCTTTGGTGAATATGTGGATAATCATCCGACAGCCAATTCCAACAGCCACAGGCCTAGGTATTTTAAAAATATAAACTCACCGATCACTAATCATGAGATACACGGTGGATTACAGAAGAAGAAACCGAGGCCCAAAGAAGCAAAGTTAACCTTTTCCAGGTTCCGAAGCCATGATAATAACTGACCTGCTGCTTCTACCTGAGTACGCTGTAGTAACTCCATGCAAACTGAGTGTGAATGATGGAAGATGAAGTCTTCCCTCTCGGCCTGTCACTGACAGGGCAGCAACAGTCAAAAATGCATTTCTTCAGAAATAGATTCCTCAAAATCCTTTTAGATGACTGCCTCAAGATTTGACCTACTTTCCTCCAAACAACGCACCTCTTGACCAAAAGAAATGTCCGTAACTGGCTCAAGGAAACATATCCTGACGTGAAATTCGTTGTGCATTCAAATCAATCGCCTCCCATGGTGAGGCACTCTGCCATTAAATTTCACACAGTGAATCTCATGTTTTGTGACTCACAGACAGGTATTAGCATTTGGCACCAAATACGAGCAATGCTCCTTGTGCCTTTTAAAGCGGAAACAGAGTATATGTTACAGTTTCAAGCCTCATATCATATGAGAAATTTAGGGCCCAGTAGTGATAAATGCCCTTAGAAGTCCTCAAGGATAGCCTCCTCCTCTGTATCCTGGCAGACCACGCACTGTATCAAAGTGACCCTAAGCATTTCCTGGAGATGGAAATATAACGGGGTTCAAATAAACTGTTACATAATAATGAATATTATAATCAGCAGTCAAATGAACGAAGTTAGAAAAAACAAGTCAAAGCTCACTGGGTGTGTTTTCAGAACTAAGTGTACAAATTGAATTTGTACAGAAATAAAACAGCGTCTCATAATGCCTCAGTTGAGTATGTGCCACTAGTCCTGCCCGATAATTAAAATCTGCTCTTGGTAAAGATCTTTCACTTTCAAATAGGAAAAAAAAAAAAAAATTGAGGCACACGCGTAATTTCTGCCGCTGTCATAAACAGCTGAATCATTCACATAATCAACAGCCCAGAATTCTTTCACAAGCTCTCAGTTCAGGTTCTGCTTTTTGAAAGATCAGAATGTAAAGCCTTCCCGACTACAGCATGTAAGAATTATACGAAATCACGGGATTCCCAAAAGATAATGACTTTAAACAGAGGCAATGAATTTTAGGGTCCATCAAACAAAAGGCCCGGGCTACGGATACAAATCACTCCAGCAAAGGAAAAACACACCATCCGAGAAAATGTTGGCAAGGTCCATGGGCCGGAGACATAGGGGCGCCGACCTCGCGCTCCCAGTGAGCCTCTAGTAGATGCCAGGCGACAAGCTGAATTCCAGGACCTCCTTGTCCTGGCTCCCCCAGGTGATATACGGCCCGGACCAGGGTAAATTAACGAAACCGGTCCTCCAGGAAGGTGACGAACCCGGAGGGACAGCCCGGCGCGGACCCTGTCACCCACATGAGACCACGGGCGACGCGAGGGGTGCCGGGGGGACACAGAAATCTCCGGGGGGCGCGTAGGCGTTCTGAGCTGTTAAAGGGTGCCTGGGGGTAGAGGGCTACGGGTTCTTCGGGCATATGTGTGTGGGTGCCCAAGGCCTGAGGATCCCAAGGTTCTGGGGCTTGCAGTGTGTGCAGACTAGAGTCCCTCAGACATGCCCTGGGGATGCGATGGACCCTAGGGGCTGCGGGACTCAAGGCCGTACGTGGGCCACCTGGATATGTTCTGAAGGCCGTTGGGAACCCAGGAACCCTAAGAGGTTGTGTGGGGCACTCTACGGTGACAGCTGGCTGGGCGGGGAACTGGGCACCAAGACCCCTAAGGGCAAGAACTCTGACGCTCACCCGAACAACCCTCGCAGGAAGGAGTGGGAGGCCTTCACTCGTTTCTCGGCCTCCGCCATCAGCTGGACCGCTTCTCGCTCCTTCCCTGCGTTGTCCATGTCGCCAGCCGCCGCCAAAGCCTCCGCCACCGACTTGCAATGCTCCCGGGACGACTTAACCCTCCCTCTAGCAGGTGCGGGCACGCAGGCGCGGTGCGTGGGGACTGTAGGGATCTGTAGTCCTAGACTCCTCCATAGTGGCAGCTGTGTCAGAGGCCACAACTACAATTCCCAGAAAGCTGCTGGGCAGGGCCGGGCAGGAGCCTGTCTTGAGGACCCTGAGTTCCCCGGGCTCCGGGAGGAGGGAGAAGGGGCGTGGCCCTCTGGAGGGGTCTTGGGCCAAGGTGGACTTCAAGGTTTTAAGGAATGCAGAATCAGAAAATTACCGGCAGCTTCCAAGGGAGATAACCTAAAACACGCAGCGTCAGAAATCATTGACCATGACTGAGACGTAGCAATGGATAAACGGTTGACCAGGGCTTGTTAAAAAAAAAAAAAAAAAAAAAAAGCCGGGAACTCTCAGCCTACATGAAGGTACTGCAAAAGGTAATCTAATGCAGTTCAGTGCAATTTCGTCAACTCTGTGGTGCCCCACCTCCCAGCTCTCCCAGAAAAGGAGCAACAGCTGGCCTAAAGAGTTATTTTTAATTTCTGAGAGCAAGACGTTAAAAATGCATCATCTTCCCCAATATAAATTCAGAGTTGCTTTTAAGCGTCCCCAGACTGCAACTTTCTTTTGGTCCTCTTGTTTAGAAATGAGTTGCATATCTTCCATGTAGGCATAATCCACTCATTTTATTGACCGAATTCTATTAAATGGCTATGAGCCAATGAACTCCTTTATCCTTTACATAATGCTGGCCACAGTGGGTGGATCTTGACAAAATTCCTGTCTGCCAGGAAGATTTTTAATCTACTAAATATCCATCGATAGATGCAGTCCTGTGCCAATGTCTTCCAGGCCTGACCCAGAGGGAGCTGTTTTTTAATACAATGTCTAGACCATCTAGGCTTGGCAGTGCTGATGCAGACAGAGGTGGTGAGGCAAATGGGATCACTGCCAAATGAGAGTTTCTGATGATTTAAAACTCTTCATGAAAGCCTGTCTTCAGAGAACAAAGCAAGACAGTTCAAACTCCTTGAAACAATTACCAAAACTGATGTCACAGTGTGACAGGGCCCAACCACTGTAGGATGCTCTCAAGATAGAAGGGAATATCAGTTCTTGGTGCACAGTTTTACTTACCGCTCCTGTGGGCATTCTTCTCATTTTGGAAAACTGATTCGTATGTTTGGAGCAGTAAATTGCAGGCAGGGAGGAGGAAGGAAATTGGAGGTGGCAGTGGATGTTGGGTTGAAGAGAGGAAAATGGCAAAAGTGGATGGACATCGGCGTTTGAAAAGGAAGCAGTTGGGGATTTGGTGGAGTGAGCCAACTCAAAAGCACCCACGTGTAGCATCAAGTGTTGGTGAGAGCAATTCCCAAGCCTGTCTTAATGAAACAGCTTTGCAGGACAGTCAAGAAATAGTGATCTCTCTGTCATCATTCTTTGATGTCCGGATCTTCACTCCACCCTACTCTAGGGCTATCCATTCGAAATTCTGCAATTTTACCTGAAAAGGAGCTAGAATAGATTCCCTAAAAAGCACACCTCAAAAACCAGACATTTCACATATAGGCCGTTGATGGGTACTGATTCAAACTGACACCTGCCTTTCAGTGGCTCTGGGTACATCCTATTCATGGTCGTTCAGGGTACATGGACATTCAGCCTGAGTCAATACAGAGGAGAGTAGACTTGAAGGTTAAATACCTACCATTTATATGAAATGCTCCATAAAGGCCGGACTGAAGCCATCAGAAATCCCCAGCTCAGAATAGGGAGAAGAAAATGACCTATGTAAATAGAGGATGTGGCCATCTGCTTGTTGCTAGAGTTCCAGGTAGAGTGGGGTCACCTTTTACAACCAAGCTCAAAAGTAATGAGTGGTATGACACATTTCTACACTGAAACAAATAGGTAAAGTTAGCCTACATATAGGGAGGATAATTGGATGTTGTCTCTTGATGGGAGGGACTCAACCTTATTTATTTGCTTGTTTTTAGTTTTTAATAATTTTTTATTTAAATTAGAAACAATCTTATTTTACATATAGATTATTTCTCCCTCCCAACTCTCCTGTGCCCCCCACTAGCCCCCCATTCCATCCCCCATCAATTCCCCAGGGATGGCGAGGCCTTCCACAGGGGGATAAAGTTTGTCACATCATTTGGGGCAGGGCCTAGGCCCTCCCTCATATATCTAGGCTGAGAGAGTATCCCTCCATGGGGAAATGGCTCCCAAGTCCATTCATGTACTAGGGATAAATACTGGTTCTACTGCCAGAGGCCCCATAGAGACTGCTCAGACTGACATCCAAATTCAGGGGGCCTGGTTCGGTCCTATGTTGGTTCTCCAGCTGTCAGACTGGGGTCCGTGAGCTCTAACTTGCTCAGGTCAGCTGTTTCTGTGGGTCTCCCCAGCATGGTCTTGACCCCTTTGCTCATTGCTCCTCCCTCTCTACAACTGGATTCCAAGAGTTCTGGTTAGTGGTTAGCTGTGGATCTCTGCTTCTCTCAATGTATTCCTGCAATTGCTATATAAGCCAAGCTGACCTCAAACTCACAGAGATTCTCTTGCGTCTGCCTCCTGAGTGCTAGGATTAAAGATGTGTATCACCATGCCCAGCCTGGAACTCAATTTTCTTTTAGGCAGTTTCAAACCACCACAGTTGCATTAGAGGAAGTCAGTCTACATCCTGGTCCATCTTGGTAATGCTGACCTAATTGTGTGTCTGAAGACCCCAGACTGAGGAACATCTATCTCTTCCCCTGGTGGTCCTTCCAATCCTAAGGTGTCTTCTGGGGGCTTCCATTCCCTCTTGTAGGACATCTGTCTTTGTTCCCTCTGCTAAGACATCTGAAGGTTATGATTCTGAACTGAAGACATAATTGCTGAGTGCAAATGTTTTACTTTCCCCAAGCCTTTTGACTCCCTTTGGTATACAATTTAACGTTACATTAAAAGAAACTTGGAGGAAAGTGATACTGCCCCGTAATTGTACATCTCTAAAAAAAAGACTCTTTTCAAGAGAGAGAGAGAGAGAGAGAGAGAGAGAGAGAGAATGTGTATGTGCATGTGGAGGCCAAAGGTTGAACTGGATGGATGTTTCCTTAACTCTGCTCCATCTTATTTTTTTGAGACAAGGTCTCTCACTGAACTATAACTCACTGTTTAGGCTAGACGGTGGGATGTCCAGCCAGTGAGTGCGTGGGATCAGCTTTACTTGTCCTTCCCCTACTGTTTCCTCAGCACCAAGGTTACTGATACACACCATTGTGCCTGATTTTGATACTGATGCTGCAGATCCAAACTCATCCCCATGCGTGTACTACAAGCTTCTGATCCACAGAGACATCCCCCAACCACTCTTTCACTTTTAACGTGTGCATTCCCATTCCCATTATAATTTTCATTCATAAACGTAAAACTACATAGACATCATCAAGGTAGATTTGTAGTGTATATTTGGTGTGTGCCAAGCCTCTAGGGCATCAGCTAAGAGAGACCATTTCCAATGCAAAGCACTCAGGAGATATGACTATAATTGCTAACTGCCAATAGCTGAACACATTAGATTTACATAACTCTTTCCCATAGAGGCATAGTTGAGTTGTATGAAATTTGGCTCCTGTGGAAATATTCACATCTGTCCTGAAAATGAGCTCTTATCTGAACACCCTGCTGCCAGCTGATTTAAGAGAATGCTAGCAGCTCTTCATGATCAGTTGGGAATAGCTCAGTTTTCCAGACTTGATCTGCATTGCAGTAATTGTCTTTGAAGGTGCAGTCGATCTTTATTATTCCTGGATTCCAGTTTGTAAATTCACTTACTTGTTAACACTTGTGATATTTTTGCAGGCACTGTGAACACATCCAGAGTGGTGAAAAATGTGAATAGACTGGCATGTATGTTCCAGCTAGGGTTGAATACAGTGGCCTCAGACTTCCGGGTCCCTTTCATATCCTCTGTTGTGCCATAACTTTTCATTTTAGTGATCTTTATGTTGAAGGATTTTGTGGATATCCAACCTGGAAATGGCATGTTTTTGACTTTCAGCCTCCATAACTACATGAGCCAATCTTGCACCACAAATCACTGCATATGTATATCTCAATATGTATACGCATATGTATCTATGTACTTACTGGTTCTGTGTCTCCCAGTTCATCTACTGTCTGCTACCTTTTCTCCAGGGCCTGTAGGAATTCCACCAAGGAGGCTTGGATTTAACTAACCAATCATAAAGTAGAGAGGTCAAGGGGTGAGTAATAATATAGCATTTGTTTCTCAGTCCCTCCACAAAGAGGCCACTTGACACTCCCTGACTCTTTCTGGGTTGTATCATTTTCCTCATTGTTCTTGCTTAGGAGTACTGGCATTGGTACTGCTACTTGAAGACTTCCCTGTCCCCTGTGTCCCCTGGTTCATTTGCATTTTCACCATTTGTAGGGGAAGCTGTAGCCACGCCTTCTTAGGGGCTGGCTACAGGTGTGCCTGACCACACTTGTGAGGGCGTGGTCAGAGTGACATAGAGTGACTGTGTTTGTGCTTTCAGTTTCTTTTTTGCTTCTTGCAGTACAGGCTGCTGCCACCGGCTGGCTAGGTCGCTCTGTAAGTAAGGCTTTTCCCTATTAAATACCCTTATATTTCTACCTGACTCCGTATTGGTAATTTCCCACTGTGTAGACGTTCTGTTTAGATCCACATTCTTGAGTTGCCTTCCTTCCTTCCTTCTTCCTTCCTTTCTTCCTTCCTTCCTTCCTTCCTTCCTTCCTTCCTCTCTCCCTCCCTCCCTCCCTCCCCTCCCTTCCTCTCTCCCTCCCTCCTTTCCTCCCTCCCTTCCTTCCTTTTCTCTTCAAGACAGGATTTGTGTGTGTGTATCCCTGGCTGTCCAGGAACTCACTCTGTAGACCAGGCTGACTTTGAACTCAGAGATCTACCTGTCTCTGCCTCCCAAGTGTTGAGATTTAAAGTATGTGCCACCACCACCCGGATTTCTTGAATTTTTCTCATTGCTATTATGTCCTTGTTCATTGTATAAGGATAGTATGATACTGAACCC